GATTGCGGAAGCTTTAGAATGCCGACAAGGTCGGACTATCGTGTGGAAGTGCTAACACGAAGGTGGCTACTCCTGGCCACCGAGATAGGCAACAAGAACAAAGAAACTAAAGAACTCAGAAAGATAGAGCAAATGCCTCAGAGCTTTATTACTCTCTCACAAAGAGAAGAATGGAATTGGGTGTCAACGGTTGTTGCCCGGTCACGATCTCGAACGGACTCTGGTTTGTTGCCTCGCTCCGTTGCAAGTTGTAGGAAAACTGGGCCACATCCAACAACTTCGGCCAGTCACGTTGGTTGGCACTCACATAGTGCCTCAGATAAATCTCTAACAAAGCATTCACTCGCTCAGTTTGCCCGTCGGTTTGTGGATGAACTGCGGTGGAAAAGTTCAAGCTTGATCCCATCAACTTGAACAACTCCGTCCAGAACCTTCCTGTGAACCGTGTGTCCCGGTCACTAATGATGGTTTTCGGCATCCCCCAAAACTTCACCACATGCTTGAGGAAAAGTCGAGCCGCCTCCATGGCTGGACACACCTTGGATGCTGGAATGAACGTCGCATACTTCGAAAACCTATCAACCACAACCATAATACTCGAAAGTCCATCAGTCTTGTGTGCCAACAAGACAAAATCTCGATACAAATGACATAGTTAAGAGGCAATGGGACATTTAAGCCTAAAATATAATATTAATCAAAATAAAACGCATTTGGAAATCAATTTTTAATCCAAACACAGAAGTTAAAAAATTATAAAATTTATACCTGTTTTACAGTCAAAATTATATTTTTTAAATTTCATTTTTATCTTATAATATATTTATTTTAGGATATAACTTCAATCAAGTGATTAACAAATTATTTAAAACTTTTATCTTATTATTTTAATTTTTTAAAATTAAATATTTTTAATATAAATTTTTTTAATTTCTTTATAATTTAAGTTTATATATCTTAATTATATTACATTATATTAAAATTTTAAAAATATAATTTAAGTATATATTTTTAAATGATAACATAAACATCATATCTAAAATAATAATTTACATTCTCAATACAATATTATACAATTAAATTTTAAAATTTAAAATTACTTCTGAAAAACAAATTTTAAAAAACATTTTTTATCTAGCCCCTATCCCCACTAGACTAAAGTAGCCCCACCCCCAAACTCCATTCTCTTATTATTGTCGATAAAAACCCCGACTGGCGACTACTTTACATTCAGCGTAAATCTCACGCCGCCTTCCAGGTTATTGCAACAGTTAAAAACAAGCACTTCCTCTCTCACAGTCTCACTCTCACTCTCACTCTCTCTCCCGTACTCATTTTTTTAGAAAAATCTGAAGCAGTTATGGCAAGCAAAGCGCCCGATCACGAGCACAGAGAAGACGAAGAAGAGCGCGCCGCCGATGATGGCGATACCGGAGCTCAATTCACCCCTATTGCCCATCTCGAGGAAGTCGCTGTCATCATCGGCGAGGAAAACGAAGATGCCATCCTCGATCTGTCAGTGTTTTTCTTTTGTTTATGTTTGGATTCGAATATTTGTAGATTTCTCTAGAGATCCGAATGATCTGAATATACATAATTTTATTTACCAGGAAGTCGAAGCTGTATCGATTTGATAAATAAGGGAATCAATGGAAAGAGAGAGGCGCTGGTACTGCGAAGCTGTTCAAGCACAAAGAGACTGGAAAAGTTCGTCTTGTTATGAGGCAATCTAAGACTATCAAGATCTGCGCCAATCATCTGGGTATCTGCTCTTCCTCAATTCCCTTTCTGCTTTTTCTTCTTATTTCCGGATTTCATAATTTGAATGCAAAAAAAAAATGTGCAGTGTTGCAGACACGATGACGGTTCAGGAGCATGCTGGGAATGATAAATCGTGCTTATGGCATGCTGCTGACTTTGCAGACGGTGAATTGAAAGATGAACTTTTCTGCATTCGTTTTGCAACTGTGGAAAGTATATTTTACTCCAAAACACTTCGCTAAATGAAATTGAATGAATGTGTTTCGATTCTTGTTTGAAGTTTAAACCACACCCTGGATTAGTTGAGCATTGGTATTTTCAAGTAGTTATTAAAATTTTGTTTAATTATTCTTTCAAAATTAGATTAAGAGGAACCGAAGTTTCATTTTTTTTTCGTTCTGTCCGTGCTGGTATTAGTTTCAAAAAATTGGCTGGTAAAAAATGATATTATTTTACTAATTTATATCGTGAAGTTGCAAACAATTCTCACACTCGAGTGTTGAGTACTATTACAGTCCTGTTTACTTAAAATTTCCACTGCTCAGGTAGCTCATGCTTACTTTGAAGGAAATTGAAAGCATTTTCAAATGTTAACTATAATGTTTTTCTTGGGTTTGATATTTACTATATTCTTTGAAAACAAATAAGATTGTATAAGGTGGAATTTAATTTTTTTAGTGTTGACAAATACCATTTAGATATGATTTGGCTGTGAACTGTCTTAATTGTGCATGATGGAATCCATGAGCTGAATTTACAAGTCTTTTAGACCCGATAAAATCAGTTATACATATGGTTTGGCTCTTTAATCAATGTAATAACTATGATTTAGAGATTGATTTACCATGAAAAATGTTTGGTTGGAATTGTGAAAGTTGCCTTCAATGTTTCTTTTTGAGCGGCAAGTGTTCAGGGAATATCAATTAGAGTTAATAGAAATGGGTTTAGATTGTGGTTATAGAGGGATGATGATGGTTCTTTGAGATCTGGCTTCTTTTTCAATTTCATTACAATGGCTGTTTTGCTTTGATGGAATAAAGCCCGTTGTTTTTTACTGATTTTACATTTTCTCAAAATTAGATTGCAAAACCTTCATGGAAAAGTTCCAAGAGATTGCTGAAACACAAAAATCGGAAGAGGAAAACAAAGAAGAATCTGCTGCTGCGGAGTCACTTGAGAAGTTGAGCGTTGAAGAAAAGAAAGCTGAGGATAAAGCCGGAGAGGCTGTTGCCACGAAGGAAGAAAAGGAAACCGAAGTTGAGAATACAGGAAAAGCAGATAGTGAGCAGAAAGATGGGGAGGCAGCTTCCTCTACCTGAAAGGAGGTTGGGTTTGTTTTCCATGCCATATGCTTTTGACGAATGTGGTGAAATTAAACACCTGTCTTCACCTCCTTGGCCGTGTCTGGCATATTCCTGCAGGTGAAACTAGATGGGAGTTTATGGGTTGGAATGTGTCAAGGTCTTTTGTGTACTTGGGTTTGGATGGTTGTCGAGGGGTTGGTTAAACCCTGAGTCATATGTCGGTCACATTTGCATGGTTAGACTTGCGTTTTGGTTTTTAGTGTTGAGGAGATTTCATCCAACTGGGTTTTCCCGGTAGTATTAGTAGTATCGTGTCAAAGTTATTTTTCTGCTCAGTTCATGCATTCAAAAAGCTCATGTTATAAATAATTGTTTATTGGGTTGGGGTAATATCTTGAATTTTGTGTTTGGGTGAAAAGGAATTTGGTATGCGAGAATTGGTTATTATATAATTCAGTTGTCATAGCTTATCAAAGACACCTTTTTTATTTCTACGATATTAAGAAATTATTGCATAATGGAAAATCCTATTATGTTTAGTTAAAGCAGCTATCTGTTTTTCGATGAAAGAATCCGTCGAGCTTATTAGAAGTGGCAGATACAAAATGAACAACGGTCATTTAACGCTATTACAAGCAACAACTTTAGTTAATCCAGAACCTAGTATGGGAAACTCATAATTAACACACACACAGGGCTAATTAAGCACCCCTGACACAAGTATAGGGAATCAGAGGCTAATGGTTGTAGCTGCCACTGAACCTTCTTACCATTACTCAGAAGTTGACCTCTACTCTACGTTCCTATCTTAAAGTGATTCTGTCTTAAGACCCCGACTCCTGAATTTCCAAAGCATCTCCCATAATAGCAACATTCGGTCATATAGTTTCCTATGGTGAGAATGGCCATCCGGCTGGACTGAATGAAGGGTTAAGGACCGTAAAACACCAGAAGGAACCGTTTCTTAATGCGGTGCCGGGAATAGGTGGTACTGTCTGAGCCTAACTATTGATTACACTGTGAAAGGAGGCCTAAAATCAAGGTGTAGTCGATAGCAGATTTCGGGTCGGTTGAATATAAGACATCATTTTGCTCACCTTTATATTTCCCGCATTATGCATGTCCCCATCATCCACAGCTTCTCTCCTCTACATTCTGTTGGTAACCCTAATGAGCCATCCTTATTTTTTTTTTAAATAATTTAAGATAAGTATTCGTATCCAATCAGCTATTAAGGAGTGAAAAATGGAGAGCATTGTCAAGACGGAGTCCGAACTCAGAGCCAATCATACTAACAAAAAGTCTAAAATAACCTTGCTATTTTGCCAGCAATTGTACACTACTCCTCACACATGAACCCATTATTCTCAAGTAGAATAAATGCGCCCCATCACCCAAACATCCCCTTTTTCTAATTATTACCCAGGGAACTCTTCTTTACATTTTGGCTCCGCTTGGTTCAGGTCATATTTAATTTTTGCTGGTAATCTTTTTTTTCCGAGTAAACATACCTATATTTGGATAGACTACATTCCTAAGTGCAGGGAAAGAATGATTACCAACAGTGATTTTTTCCCTACTTTCCCGGGAATGTCATACCCCTATCTATCGTATTTGCTTATTCCCGGTCCTCTTTTCTAAAGTACATTCTCCCCGCTTGGTTATGGCTGAAAGAAAATTGTGATGAGGAGAATGCGAAGCGTAGTTTGGAGGAAACACCCTGTCCCTTCTTCTCAGAACTTAAAAACGATCAAGGAAAAGCTTTCCATAAACATCGATCCTCTGCTCAGAAAGAACCTTGCTACTGCCGATGATTGGCGGAATGCTCTCAATAAAGTTGTTCCGGCCGTCCTCGTCCTCCGTACTACTGCTTGCCGTGCTTTTGATACGGAGCTTGCCGATACTAGTTATGCTACTGGTTTTGTTGTTGATAAGTGAAGGGGGATTATTCTCACTAATCGCCATGTGGTCAAACCAGGTCGACTTCCGTCAACACTTAATTTCTTTATTTAATTGTTCTTTGTGTTAGCTTTGCCTGATACTTTTGCTATTTCCTCTTTTGCTTCTCCAGATATAAGTGAAAAAGTTCGTTACTTATTAGTAATTGAAAAAAATATATAAATTTAATTGTTTTGAGTAATTAAATGAATGATTTTGTTGTTGCACGGATCAATGGATCACTTATGTTTGATACTTTGATTGTGTCTTGAATTTTTTAGCTATATGCTCATATTTATTATTGAGTATGATTTTATTTTTACGACTATAGTTTTTACTTTTGAGCAACTTTTTGAAGAAGAATAAAGCAGATAATAGACAAAAATACAATAGTTGAATGGTGTTGTCTGTGTCTTTAAAATTTTGGAAACAATGTTTGTAAATTGAGAAAAATGACTATGTTTTGTCTACTTTTAGGACCTGTAGTTGCCGAAGCAATGTTTGTAAATCGAGAATAAATAACTGTGCATCCTATATATAGAGATCTGGTGAGTAAACTCTGCTACATAGCATTTATCTTGTTTTGGTATTATTTAGTTCATTTTTATGCACTAGGATTTCTTGACGTGACTTCTAAAATGTACTGCTTCTGTATAATTTTTGTTGTTTTCCATGGAAGGCTTGATTTGTGAGGCTATATTGATTGAAATTACTTGATTTGGTTGTATTTAGATCGTCTGCTGCTTCATATGCCTTGCATAGAAGTTAATTTTTTCTTATGTGTTCTTTCAACAACAACTATTATTTGGCCATCCTGCTAATTGAAATACACTATGTTTTTTTATTAGGTTCATGATTTTGGCTTCTTTCGTTACGATCCTGATGCAATTCAATTTTTAGACTATGAGGAGATTCCACTTGCCCCAGAGGCCGTTTGTGTTGGCTTAGAAATCAGGGTTGTTGGTAATGATAGTAGAGAGAAGGTAGTTGAATCATATTATTAGTCTTTGATATACTTTTGTTAATTTAACACTTTTATTTTGTTAACATTATGCACTGATGTTTAGTTTTATGTTTAATTCCATTTACTAGGATTGTAAAAAAATCATTTCAGTGAAAGAAGTCCTTAAGTTGGCTTTTGAGAAAAATCATGGCTTTGTTGTAATGCTTCTATAGAACATAAAACCATAACTAACTGTTATTGTTATGGTTTGAATAAAAAATTGTAGGTTTCCATATTGGCTGGAACTCTTGCTTGTTTGGATAGGGATGCCCCTCATTATAAAAAGTATGTGGCACTTTATTAATGGTTTTCTTGTGAATCATCTACTTTCCCAGTAGATTTAATATCATTGATCTTTTGACAAATTATCATCTCTATCAAAACCCTTAGATAACCACATGCTTTTGTCCTATTAAACTGGTTTGTACAGTTGTTGATTTTCTTCTTATGCCTTGCAATCGTGATGATGAATGTTTATACATATTTTCATCAGCATTTCAGAGACTTGTGGTTCCAAAATTTATCATGGTAACGCAACCTTTATTGAATTTTGCTTTCGGATGCTGTTTGTTTTATCATCTGCAACTTCTCAAATACAGTTTGTACTGAATCAGACTTAGATGATTTTAAGCTTTTCTACCAGTCGAAGACATAGTATCCCTCTGTCTTGACTTTGACAGTCATCATTTTAATGCTTTATACCTGGTGATGCATGCCATATAGTAGTTACATACGCACTGCATGAACTGCTTTTCATTTTAGGTAGTCATTCTGTGTTGCATATTTTTCTAGTTGACTTTATAATAATCTGAAATCACATTTTCCTTTGACAATATTATATGTAAGCAATGTTTGATGACGTGCTCAGTCTTTTACATTACAGTCATAACTTCTGGTCAGTAATTTGACCTATTCTGTGTAGCTTATGATTTCTAGAACTTTCTGGCTCTTTATTGATTCTTTTACAGTTGTAATGTGTGGCATGGTTGTTGACATGCTTATTTGTTACATGGATGGCTATAACGACTTCAACACTTTCTACATGCAAGTATGTATTATATTCTCCATGGATCCATTGGTTTAGATTTTTAATTTTTTCCTCTATTGTTCTTTGAATATGAGCAAAAACATGGTTTTACTATGGAATGTATAAAAAAATATCTCAAGTGCCTTTTGTAAATTATGTACTTGTTGGTTTCCATATTTTAACACCAATGTTTGACATACAAATAGTTTAGGATAGAGGTTTTGACTTTAAGATTTCTTATATTAAAATTTAATTTTTATATATTTAATATATGATGGTTTTAATACCAAAATGTGTTATATAAAGAAGCAAAAAGGAAAAAGGTAACCAGAGTTACGTTCACAATAATTTCTATTAGATAGGTTTGTTTACTTTGAGATTTTAACATTGGGAATGATTGCTCATGCTCTGCTCCAAACATGGACAAAAGACTCAATAATCAGATTTTCGAATCAAACTTCAATATTCGGGAATTTTAAATCCATTCTGCGACACCACAAACTAGAGCAAATTTTAAACAACAATGAAGACCACTATAGGAGAGAATAATGATAACAACCTTAATCAAGAACTTTAAAATAAAATGCTGAAATTATTGAATGAATAAATATAAATTTTAGCTTTTGTACTGATTTTAAAAAATGTTTAAATTATAAAATTTAGCTTTTGTTATCTTTACGAGTAAAATAATTCATCTATTAAAATTTTCATATGCTTATTTAGTTAAATCATGGTGTAAAATTCTAATATATTTTTAGATAATTAATGTAAAAAAATAATATTATTTATAATTAAAATAATACATCATATATTTACTCTTTTATTCTACCCATTTATCTTTTAAATTTTGTAAAAAAATTATATATAAATTTTATTAAAAAGTATATAAATTTAAAATAATAAAATAATATGTTTTTATGTTTTTTTATATAAATATTTTAATTTAAATATTTAAAATTCTACTTGTTAGCACATATAGCACAATGATAATTTGGTAAAATATGCATTCTAGTAATCTCATATTCCTTCAACTAAACACTATAACCATACATTCATGCCAAATAAATCAAACACTATAATAAAACATTCTCAGTAATTTTATTACTTAATAATTTTACATTTTTACTAATAATTTTATATTATTTGAACTAAACGTACCGTTTGAGTAAACCTCACGCCTCCTTCCGGGCTGCAACAGTTCAAAATAAACACTTCTCCTTCTCTCTCTCCCCCCCCCTCTCCCTCCCTCTCTCCCCCTCTCTCTCTCTCTCTCTCTCCCCCCCTTTATAAAAGCCCTAACAGCCTGATATTATTCTTTTCTTGTTCTTATTTGAAAAAAAACACACGCTCCCCTCTCCCTGAAAAATAGTTATGGCAAGCAAAGAGCCCGATCACGAGCACAGAGAAGACGAAGATGCGCCCGCTGCCGATGATGAAGATACCGGGGCTCAAGTCGCCCCTATTATCAAGCTCGAGGAAGTCGCTGTTAGCACCGGCGAGGAAAACGAAAATGCCATCCTTGATCTGTCAGTATTTTTGTTTTATTCATATTTCCGATTCGAATATTCTTCGATTAATCTGGTGATCATTATTACATGAATATGCTTAATTTTATTAATTAGGAAATCGAAGCTGTATCGTTTTGATAAAGAAGGGAATCAATGGAAAGAGAGAGGCGCTGGTACTGTGAAGCTGTTGAAGCACAAAGAGACGGGGAAAGTTCGCCTTGTTATGAGGCAATCTAAGACTCTCAAGATATGCGCCAATCATCTAGGTATCCTCTCTCCCTTTACCTCTTCCTCAATTATGTTCATATTTTTCTTTTCTGTTTTCTGATTGTTTCATGATTTTGCAGTTTTGCCGACGATGACGGTTCAGGAGCACGCTGGGAATGATAAATCCTGCTTATGGCACGCTTCTGACTTTTCGGACGGTGAATTGAAAGATGAACTTTTCTGCATTCGTTTTGCATCAGTGGAAAGTGAGTATATTTTGTTCTAAATCACTTTGCGACTTTGCCGAATGAAATTGAAACAATGTTATTTCAACTCATTTAATTTACGATCTGGATCTGCATAGCAGGGTTTAGTAAGTGAACAGAATTTCATAGAGTGGACTAGTAGGCCATTGGTATTTTCTTCAATTAGTTTGTGACTTACATTTTAGTCAAGTATTCTTATCGTTATGAATGTTTGAAAGCTTGGTTGATCACAATTCAAAGGTTCAAAAATTAAATCCAGAGTAGCTGAAATTTTAGTTTTTGTTCGATCTGTAAGAGTTGGTATCAGTCTCAAACAAGTATTTGCTTTAAAATGATATAGTTTTACTAATTTATAGCAGAAACCGGCAAACAACTTTCATACTAAAATGTGAGTGATACTATAGTTCTGTTTCCTTAAAAACATGCTGTGAATTTCAAATGTAGCGCATGTTTATTTTATGGAAACCGAAAGCATTTTTGCGTGTTAACCATCGTGGTGTTATTGGGTTTGATATTGTTTGGAGAATCATTGAGATGTTACTTCTATAGTCCTATAAGGTTATATTGAATTTCATATTGATGACACATGCCATTTAAATAAGATTTGTACTCTAGGATAATAATTTACAATTAACTGTTGTTGCTTGTGAACTCTAGCTCTAATGGATACGATTGAATCCTGAGTTGAATTTAAAAGTCTGTTAGACATGATAAAATTAGCTATGTATACGAGTTAACGCTTTAACATAATAAAATACTGGAGAGCTTGATATGCCATGAAAAATGGAACTGTTAAAAGTGGCCTTTATTATTCTTTTCTGGGGTAAGTGTTACAAAATATCAGTTGCAGTTAACGGAAACAGAGATGGATTTAGATTGGGGTTATCATGGCTTGTTTTCTTTGTGATTTGGCTTCTTTTTGGTTTTATTATGAAATTCTGTTTTGAGGGAATTAAGCTTTTTGGTTTTTACTGATTTTACCTTTTTTTTCTTCTTAAAATAGATTGCAAAACCTTTATGGAAAAGTTTCAAGAAGTGGCTGAATCACAAAAATCGAAAGAGGAAAATGAAGATGCATCTGCAGTTGCCGAGTCACTTGAGAAGTTGAGTGTTGAAGAAAAGAAAGCTGAAGATAAAGCTGGAGAGGAGAAGGCTGTTGAAGAAAAGAAAGCTGAAGATAAAGCTGGAGAGGAGAAGGCTGTTGCTACGAAGGAAGATAAGGAAACAGAAGTTGATAATACAGTTAAAGCAGACAGTGAGAAGAAAGATGGGGAGGCAGCTTCCTCTACCTAAAAGGAGGCTGGGTTTGTTTTCCTTTCTGTAGGCTTTTGGCGAATATGGTGAAATTTGTCAGTCACCTGATTCTACGCATGTCTAGCGTATTCTTGGGAGTGAAACCAGATGCGTAACATATGGGTTGGAATGGTCGAGGTCCTTTGTGTCCTTAGGTTTGGGTGTGTGTCGAGGGTTTGTCAAACCCCGAGTCATGTGTCGGACATGTTTGCATGTTTTGAGTTGCGTTTGGAATTTTGGATGGTGTCAAGGAGGGTTAATGCAACTGGATTTTCCCGGTTTTAATATCAGCGTGTCAAAGTTCTATTGCCGCCCAGTCCATGCATTGAATGAGCTAGTGTTATAGACATGCTTTTTTTTTTTTAAAAGAACTTCTATTGGATTTTTTTTTTTAATTTTGTATCTTTATGTCGCAAGATTTGGAAGTTTGGGTGCGAAGGAAATTTGTTTGCCAGAGTTGGCATTGTATAATTCTGGTACCTATTATATTTCTACGGTATTAAAGGGCAAAAATGCTCCGATGGGGCTTTAAAAAAGAAGAAAGCCTGATCTGGAGGAGGGGAAAAAATATTTTCCCAAGTAGTGTGAAAGCTACAGTGGATGCTGGAAGTCTGCCGGAACACATGGCGTTTTCCAGAAGATGGCCGGCGTCTTTAGACTTTTCAACTCTACAGTTGCTTTAAACTTGAAATGTGCAGCAGAGAGGGGCTCCAGCAGAGAAGAAGAGAGGGAGGCTAGCCATGGTGGTTCGGCCGGAACTTGAAGACGCAATGTACTCCGGCCAGAATTTGGAAGATCTTAATATCTTGTGTGTTATTGATAAGTTTGAGAGCTAATATAAGAAAAACAATATGAAAACTATCATTTATATGGCCAAGCCAACTTAGCAAGGGTCACATGATCCTGGTTTCCACATCTTTCGTGCTCCACCTGAAGGAATTGGAGATGCTTTTAAGCTTTTACTCCTTTCATAATAATCAAAAAAAAAAACATTTATTTGGTTCCTTAAGATGCTTCAGAATCTTCATCACAACACATCACACTGGGTTTATAATTCTCGTATTAAGATTTTGTTTTGTCGAGTGTAAATATGGAAGGAGAGAACAAAAAAATAGAAGGAAAAAAATATAAGTTGAGTGTGTTAAATAAGAAATAAATTAAAAGTGTTCATTTTTAATAATTCTCATATGTAAAAATAATTCTTTTAATTTGAAAGGAAAAGATGAAAGAAGATTCTAGATTTAATTTTCTCTTGTTTTATTTCTCAATTTTATCAAGCAATAAATAAATAAAATATTTTTTTATCATTTTTACCAAGCACATCAATATACAAAAGTTTTTTTTATAAATACTTCTACTTTTTTATCCCTTCAATTTATTAACTTTTCAATTTTCTTTTCACTCTATTAACAAAGCCTGAAATATGATCATTGAGTGACATGTATTTGTGACAAGCTAACATACAATAAAACCAAGTGTATCATATGTATGTGATTGTGGATGTACCATGATAATATTAACTTATGATACATAATTATTTCCATGTTCGGACCACACACACATATATATATATATTCAGGAAACAAAGTATACAATAAAATTGTTGAGAAGCAAACTAGAATTGCTGATCCCTCAAAACAAAAATAAAAAAAAAAATCAGAAAGAGATTAAACAAGAAGAAAAGAAATAAAAAAGTAGGTTTTAAACTTACGGACAATAGATGCGTGGTGCTCATGAGATACGGCATGATGGTTATTTATCTTTTCTTATTCATGTAATTGAAATATGATTTTTTTTAATTTTAAAAAAGAAAATATATGTTATGACCCATCATTTATTTCTTTGAACATCATCATTTTGATTATGTATTTATTGATTTTAAAGAGAGCAACATCCCTTGCATCTCACATTATTTATGTATCACTTTCTTGGACTTAATTTGCGGCCAAGTTGTATGCAGATTGATAAGCTATTCCAGGAAGGCGTGCACATTCATCACCTTAAAAAATAAAATAAATTCATCATGTGCATTTTATTGAAATCAAATCTAAGCATTCATTATGGTTAGATTAGATGATTGGAGGCACATTCATCTAATTTCCGACCATAGAATGCAAGTGACTATTTTATTTGAAATAATCAATACAACTACAAGAAAATGGTTGGATCAAGCAGTGAGCAGGGTTTCAAATATATTCTAATAGTTTGCAATGCAGACGAGATGATCCCTGCAGCTGTATAACCAAATATAGTACAAACCGCAGATCAAGGGAAATGAAAGGGCCGGGTCCTCAATGATTTACCAAAATTCAAATATAAAAAACTTATACCATAATGGACAGATTTCAAAGGAAGTGGCTGGTATGTATCCATTTCAAAGACGGAATAAAACATGTTTCAGATCCAGAATTTATCCACGTCTGTTCTGTTGCCTTAGTTTCACGACGGCATGGAATGAAAGAAAAAGTAAAAACATTTAGTTTTTGCCATGGTAGTATCCTAGCCGTCCGGCATCACTTTTGGAATTGATCTTCATGATGTAGAAATCTATCACATGTTCTGCTCTTCTATTAGTTCGATGTACCAAATCAGTGCGTTTTGGGTTTCTTCTGGTTATCCATTTTGTTTGAAATAAATACAGTAAAACGAGACGTTAGCATTGACAGGACAATAAAAAATATAATGAATAAATGAACAATCGAAATCGTGTCGTGATGAAAATTACCGTCTTAGAAACAAATTCACCCCAACCTGTGTAATCGCTCAAATTTTAAATTTTCAGAAATCAAATGACAACTACTGAAATTTAAATCGAACAAGAACATTTTGCAGCCTATAAATATCATAATCAATTCTTACACAATCTTTTTTATGCTCAAGAAAATCCTTACGAATTTTCTCCAAAAAGATAGAATCCGCCTGGATATGTCGAAGACACATATTGCCACGAGCCACGACCACGTCCACGTACACGAGCACGACCATGAGACGGACGAACAGCGACGGCAGTGGCGCGCGAGATTGTTCCTTGTTCTCTATCACTCAACAAAGGAATGAATAATGAACACTATAAATACCCAAGCCTAGTGGTATTTCCCACTCAATGTGGGATAGTGTTTTACGCATTACCAACATTCCCCCATTAATGCGAAAGCGTTCTTCTGAAACTCAAAAAATAATATTCTCAGAGGAGCAATAGCGGAATTAGTTGCTTAAGAACTAGCGAACGTATCTTGAACTAGTTCATAGTGACGATGAACAATTCTTCTCTTAGATAAGTGAAACTAGTCTTGAACTTTCCAAGATAAGAGTACACTCATAACACACAACTAATCTCTTCATCCACCGAAGTCCTCGATATGTAAGATATATAGACACAAGTGTATATTTGTCTATCTTACCTCATGATTCTAGTAAGTGTACTAGAAAAACGGCTCAATGTCTCCTTCTCACTTATATAGGTTATTTCATTAGGTTTATCTCAACATAAACCACCCTAAAATCAGGCTATGAAATAATTTAGAGCCTTTTACAATAGCTCAACCTCTCAAAGGTTATGGTGATTTTCTTCAAGCCAACTATACTCTGGGATAAGAAATCATTAAGAATAAATATTCAACCTCATTAATCGGTGAATTCAATATGCCTTTCTCAGTAGGACCATCCAAACTCTTGGATTTGAATTCATTAAGAGTTTTCATAAAACTCAACCTTTCTAGTGGTAAGTTCATCTTGTCCTTCTCAATTAGGACTACCCACTCAACTCTGGGTTATGAACATATTAAGAATAAATATTCAACCAAATTTGGTAAATTCATCAAGTCTTTCTCACTAAGACTACCCAAAATCTGGGCTATGAATTTATTAAGAGAAATCAAGCTCATCTTGGGCATGCACATTATTTGTCGTAGGGATATGTAGGTAAAAATGTACACTATGAGTCTTTCCATGGTTTCATTTGACTACATTGAACTTAGATAACTAAGTTGGGTATCCTCCATGAATTCCTTAACCAATGGGCTTTAAACCAATCACCTTCGACAAATCTAGGTCGAGTTTCCTTCTTAATCCTTTGGTAAGCGGATCTGCTAGGTTTCTTTCCGACTTCACATACTCATTAAGTGTCTAACATATTCATGTCTTATGTGAATGTGTCTCTTCTTACCATTGTAAGCTTGATTATTGGCTACACATATCGTAGCTTATGAATCACACAACAAGGAGATTGGAGGAGTTGGTCTTCCATACAATGGAATTTCAGCTAATAAATTTCTGAACCATTTGGATTCTTGCCCAGTTAAGTCAAGAGCTATAAACTCTGACTCCATAGTGGAACGAGAAATACATGTTTGCTTCGTAAACTTCCACGATATCGCTGTTCCACCTAAAGTAAACACATGTCCGTTTGTAGAACTTACCTCATCATTGTCAGAAACCCAGTTGGCGTCACAATATCCTTCTAAAACTATAGCGTCGAAGAGCAACCCAATGTTGACCACTAGGATTATGAGTATATCTACTAAGTCTGCTCACAACGTAGGCAATATCAGTCCGAGTATAGTTCATTAAGAACATGCGACTTCAAAATTTTTTAGCATATTCGGTTTGGGAAATGCTTCTCCCTTTATTTTAAAGAGATGTATGCTAGGGTCATAAAGAGTTCGCACAGGGATAACATCATAACTGTCAAATTTCTTTAATACTCTCTCAATGTAAAGCGTTTGATTTAAAGAAAAACCCTTTTCAACTTTGGTAACTTTGACCCGTAAGATCATATTGACTTCTCTCAAATCAGCCATCTCAAATTTTGTAGTTAATAAATTTTTTGTTTTGTTAATGAACTCAATGTTAGTACTGAAAATCAGCATGTCATCAACATATAAACTTATGATGACGCAACCAGTACCAAACATCCTCGAATATACGCATGCATCTGAAACATTCACAACAAAACCAAAAATCATGATAGTTTTATGAAATTTCTCATACCACTGTTTTAGAGGTGTCGACACTTTGCAGTGATGAATTTGTTTCTAAATTGTTGGAAATAAATATGCAAAACAAGGCCGAGGTTAGGACGTTAGAGGCATGTGCAAATTCTTAAAAAGAGGCTCTTTTTCGTAAAGTGAGTTAGACAAAAAATGAGATAAGCTTTACAGCTGTAACATAGTACTAATTATTGGTATTTCCCATATCTTCCTTCGAACAAAGCTTTTTGGGATCCTTTTTTATAGTTTAATCATCTACGGTAATATCAATAACCTCATTGTGAACTTTTTGAGGCCATGTTCCGTCGCGCACATTGCGCATGCCTAGTCCCACCTCTACTGCAAAACGAAACGTTAGCACTGACATGGCAATAT